TCTTATGTAACGTATCTTAAATACGTTTATTTTCGTACATATCTTTGCCTATTTATTGTCTTTGCTTATAATAATGATAATAGTCATATATATATATTAGGGATGTCCCGATCACCTTTTTTTGCTCCCGATCCGATTCCGATCATTTGATTTTGACAATTTGCCGATACCGATTTTTCCCGATCCGATCTTTATGCAATGCATTAAGAGGGAAAAAAGCATTCAAGTTGTCCCTTAAGGTTATTTTTTTATTTAAATTGGATATTCTATCCAACATGGATATAGCTTCTTTTTTTCACAGCAGCATTGGATCAGTTCAGTTGTGCAGCATTGGATCAAAACAAAATAAAGTTTATCAGTACTCGTTAGCTTACTGCTACAATTAGACACTGCGCCCTGCCCACTCTGTTGCCAGATTTGAGAGAAATAAGCAACCAGGTCTATGAAAACAAGCCCCAAAGAAGCAACACATACATGATGTTGTGTAATTTGAAACCAAAACTAAGGCCTCAGGATGACTTAAGACTTGAACATGGTCATTTTTGTTTTGTAACATTGAATACAAAATTTAAAAAAGTATTAAAAAAAAAATTGTAAAAAAAAAATCCCGATCCCCGATTTTTTTCTCCCGATTCCGATCTTTTGAAAATCACTTGATCGGCTCCGATCCCCGATCACGTGATCGAATCGGGACATATCTATATATAGCACCAAATTGCAACAGAAGTATTCTATCTACGGTCACTTTTCACATTGAACATGTGCTCTTTTATTACTGTACTTTATTACTTTTTAATGTACAAATACTTTGTTACTGTATGATATCAATAACAATAATCCACAGCTCCTCTCTCTGCTCCAGAGGATAACATTTTTTTCAGGCCATCATTGGGGGGGTACCCGAGCAGCACCCTGCCAAGGCAGTAAACCTCGGGGAAACACTGATATTTATAAATGTTTTTAACAGAAGTAAAAAGCTAGCGTATGGCTATGAAGAACTACATGATGTCGCGTTTCCTCCTTATTTCCGCCATTTAACCACAAAAAACATTGACTTTGAGACAACGTAACACAGAAGTGCTAAAATGCTGTACAACATCCGAGTGCTTCTTCAGGCCAAGAGAACACACGATAAGGGACAGAAAAAAAAAAAGTCTGAAAAATGGTGGGGAGGAGAGAAAGGGTGAAGGTGAAAAGGTGGGAACGCCTGCGGACACTGGAGTGTTAGTGTTAAACTTTTTACAGGTTGCAGGCCAGCAGCGGTCATGCTTGAGTTACAGAGATGCTAACTCCATGGCTAGCACCTCTGTTCTCCCCCAAACACGTCCAGCACGAAGAATGCATCACCTCGCAGGCCAACAATAACAATGAACCTCCGTCCAGACAACTCCAAGGCCTCTGTGACCACAACGGGGAGGACAGTGGAAGAGGAGAGGGGAGGCAGAAGAACCACTGAAATAATATACAACACGAAAACCCCCATAAGAACCTTATTACAGAGCTGGAGCTAAAATGGCAGTAGGAAGATCACTCGTTGTGTTTGTATCGTTGGGAAAACATTGTGTTTCTCTTTCGTGTTTCGCCAGACCGCCAAATTTCTCCGGGCATCGACCCACTCCGCTGAACCTTGGCTTTCAATTGGCCCAGCTGGAAGAAAGTCTTAACCACAGCTTGTGGCACAAAGCTCCGCAAGATACAATTAGAGGGCAAGCAGAGCGGCACCTGTCATGAGACGTGAAACCCACTGGCATCTCAAATCTGGGGCTTCCTCACCAGAGCCGTTACACAGTAGATTAGGACTCTGACAGAGCAGAAACACACAGAGACAGAGGCTTGGTGTTTGTGTTGGGCGGTTAGAAAGACAAAGTGTTTGAGGCCTGGGTGACGCACACTTCCCTGCCCACCGTGGAGTTCAGTTCCCGGCAGAGGTGCGGTGCTAAGGCTTGGCCGGTTGCTCCGACTCTCAGCTGTGAAGGTGGTGAGGGATCAGGGTGTTGGAAGGTGGAGTATTTAGGATAGATAATATGAACCCACACGTATAACGGGTAGAATTACATATTAGGTTTAAAAATAATGGTTTACTGAGCGGCCATAATGATGCTGCTCTAGATTTAAAAAAACAAAAAGGGGGCTGTGTGGTAGGTTTGTCAGTTCAGGTAGTGTTGAAGATAAAAGTATTGTTAAGCACAATATGTCCCAAATATAATCATTATTAGATGCATGATTTGATGTTTCTAAGATTATACAACTATTTTTAAACAGTATTTGCATTAAACGCTTCCATTGGACTCCTTTGTTTACGTACGTAACATAGTGACATCACTATGCAACACTACCACTATTGGCTAGTGCTCCAACACATTGTAGGTGGAGACACTACATACAAAAACCTTTGAATAGGGCCCCTTTAACTTCTTCAACACCCTACATGGAAAGTCAGTTGTTAAAAAAAAGATATAACAGTCAACTGAGGGGACATAAATATAGGCTTTGATGGCAATCCAACACATTTGTTGAGACAACATCTTAAGTTGATATTGTGGTTTAATCAGCTTTAAAGATAATGACCCACAATCCTGATGAGTTTGTTTCAGTGTGACTTGTTTTAGTTTGAGATGAGCTAACGGGTTGTAAACAGCAGCAGCTGGACACAGGAGACGTTTTGAAGCACTCCCCAAAAAACCCATGGGATCTCTGTTATCACCTCGAATCTGACTGCCGATCATATGTTCCCCGGCTGCACTCTTCAAGGTTATCACAACTAATCATTCAAGCCTGAAGCTTTCAGAGGATATCATCTTCAGTCGCTGCTGAGGAATCGGTTATCTTGACAGCTAGCTGAGCTACATCACATTCAATCTGACTGAGGGGCAGACTCAGCGCAGCCTGAGATCAGATAACAGCTGCTCTCTTACCAGCGTGGCCCACAGCTCCTCAATCTCTCAGCCTAAAGGGATCGAATAACAACTGTTCTGAGGCCAGCGTGGTCCACAAAGTCTCCATCTACTGGCCTGAGGGAGCCGGCCGCTGCCCGGCCAGAGAGAGGCAGGAAGGAACTGGGTGCTTATGTCATTACCGACGGGGTAATTGCACTGGAGTGCCATTGATGCTGAGAGCCTCTTAAGAGGTGTCAGGATAGATTTGGGTGTGGACGGGGCCCCGAGTCTGGCTCATGTGTGTTCTCACCTCGAGCTGACACGCCAAACGCATGTTCCCCCTCTGCTGCGGCCCCCGGGGGAAGCCATTAGCCATGCAGACATGGTAATGGTGTCATTTGAGCCAATCGAGTGTCAAATGAGAGTCAACGCCGCGGCTAACTAGCCACTGGGCAATGGAGCCATCACGCATAACGCTACACTTCAGCAGACACCAGCCAGGGCTGCTGGTCAGAGGAGAGACTCTTTAAACATGGGCCTCTGCAATGTTTGGGAGTGAAAGTAGGTTATGTAAAGAAGTAAACCAAATACTGCATGATGACAGAGGATACAGCAAATGTTGCAAAGCAATTATTGTTAGTAAAGAATGCTGCACAGCAAATATAGGAATAATAAGAAATTATCATCTAGTGTTCTTTTGCTATTGGCCATATTAAATGTTGTTCTAAGAATGCAAATCAAATCTGATTACCTCTAAAAATGTAAGTACAGATGAGGTCAGAAAACGTTTGTGGTACAAAATAAAATGTGACTGGTTCTAAAAAAGTTATTGCATTTCATCCTTAGGAAGACATTAATGTCTGTAACAAATCTAATGGAAGTTTTACTCGAATCCACAAAAAGTTGGCACTCTTGTGGCATCAAAGGAAAAGGCAGGGGATGACCAAAGTCATTTGATGAATCAACTGAAACATGAATACCTGTACCAAATTTGATTGGAAATACAGTTCAAAGCAAGATATTTAATTCTAATCCAAATATGTCAACCTCTTTGGCACCGGAGGAAAGATGTCAGGAGATGACCATGAAGTCATTAGTATTCATCATATGGGAAACATCAATGTGTGTACTATGTAATGACAAATTGTCCCCGGGGGGTCGCGAGAACCCGAGTGGGGGTCGCGAGATGATTACAAAATAAAAAAAATAAATAAAAAAAAAAGATTTTTTATTATTTTTTTGTTTAAATTATTATTAATAATAACGTTTGCATAGACATTTTCAGGTGCGGACTAGCCATCTGTATAATTTCCCCGCAACGAGACTCTGTTCCCCCCCCCCCAGCAGGCAGGACTCCATTCTCAGCAACAAGCTCAATGTAAACAAAATACTGTCCGTTTTGATTGGACATAATTACTATTATATAAGATATTGACCCTTCCCCTATCATCTCTTCACTCCCTCTCTCTGCCCGTAAATGACGCGTAGAGAAAGCGGGAAACGCTGGTTGTTCTGTCTTAATATTTGTCTCCGACAGGCTGTGCATCAAAGGTGAAGAAAGCTTTCTTCAACCACGTCTGCCATATGCTTAATGCATTACGCACCATGTGTGTGTGACATTAACGCCAACAGCTAGAAGGTTACGTACACTAATAGGCCATGTTTTCACACTTGCAATACCTTTCCGGGGAATATGTGTGTACATTTGTCTGTGCTTGTACGTGTATGTGTGTGGTAACCTCCACAGGGAGAGAGGTCATGTGCAAACATATATGTACGTCCGCACGTGTCGTGGACTTTGCCTACATCAACATCTTCAAGGTGTGAAAGTCTCTGTCCATATGACTTTGACAGTTCATTTCAAAGATGGTGGAAAGAAAAAGTCCATCACGAAGAGACCAGATCCTAACCGCATTATTAAATGGAAAACAACTGTTACACTACATTTGAGAACAAATACACTGTCTTTTTCTTTTGGCGTTAATACTGACTTTCCCACAATACCACTGAGAATCTAGCTCCAGGATTCAATGGAAACATTCATTTCTCTTTCACTTCTGGAAACTGAATGACAATTGTTAGATGTAGGGAGCACAGCATCCATGCGAAATAATGTATAACGATGACAAACCCCACTGGGACAAGACGCATAAAACACAGAATCCTAAAGAGTCTTTTTGCCAGATTTACAAAGCCACGCATTGGGAGTGTATCAACTCTTACATTTGACAGAGGTTTAACTAGTAATACCCTCAAAATAAACTGTTATTCTACTAAGACTAGGATCACTGACGACACTGAGATACCACATGTAGTAATGTCGTTCTACGATTGGCTCACAAGCCTTGTTTGCAACGACACTGACGGCGACTACACATCTCGTACATCAGAACATTCATTTAAGACCCAACTCAATTTTAAATCAATCATAAAAGCAATACTTTTATTCTGCAAAGTCAACCTTGGTTTTGCCAAGAAAAAACACATTCATTCGGATTCATATTGTCGTCACTTAGAACAAATGGCTGCATTAAGGGCGACACGAAGCTATGTGAGGGGAGAACAGTGAGATATTTTTATCCTATGATTTAACTGCTGCACACCGATTACATTATAGTTGTGTGGTTTTTTTTATATACATATTTATTGAGCATAGTTGGAGGGAGCCTGAGATTGAAATAATTCCTGGTGGAGTACTGCTTTGGTTGCAGCTTCCAGCATGTTCTACAGCCCCGCTCTGCTCACTGTTATTAATCACAGCCCTGGTTTTGGTTGAGTTAGGACTTACAGAACAGTGGATGTTTCTCCTCAGATGTGTTCTGGGCTGCTTTTCAGAGCTCATACATCATATCAGAGCCTGCGAGTCCTCGAGTGGCCCACTGACATCTCTCTCACCGAGGAGCTGACGAGCGGGGGCCGACGGTCACCACCATTTTTCCTCGCCAATTTCAACACATTTCAAAAACCACCTCTGGGAGCATCGCCGCTCGCCCCGCTGTGAACTACCATCAGCTCTTTGTACGCCAGGGAAGAGATCCAGATCGGAGCGTGGCTGCACCGAGATGCTTCGACAGATGGAGGGGTTTCGCTGCTCTCCCGCTGGGCGTCCTCCACACAGGATCCAGTGTTCCTCCTCTGTCCTGTGCACCCCATTAACACTGGCACCCTGCTGACGTGCACCTACACACACCTCCGCCCACTCTTCAGTATCTTCTTTCTTCATCTCTGTCTTTCTCTCACTTTGGGACCTGTTAACGCTGGCGGCCAACAGAGCTGCACTTCAGTGAGGTATCAAAAAGGAAATGGGGTTTAGTGTTTTACCCCCACTTTATCCCTCTAAGTGTGTGTGTGTGTGTGTGTGTGTGTGTGTGTGTGTGTGTGTGTGTGTGTGTGTGTGTGTGTGTGTGTGTGTTAAGATAAAGTGAATATAACCACATGTATGTATATATAGCATACAAAGGCGAAATTTGACTTCTGGATAAATCAGGAGAAAGATGCAGGTAAAAATGTTAAAAATAAAAAATAAAAGTGTGACTATATTCCAGTCAAGACTTGTGCAGCTTTCTTCTTTCTCCTCGCAGTGAGTGTGTTGTAGGGGGAGCGGAGGGGAAAGGCCCGAAAGGAGCGTTTGATTAAATCTGCGGTTGACGTGTGGGACAGGTGAGATTGATGAGGTTCCTCTGAGTTTCACACTGTGCGGAGAGCGGGGGTACAGGAACAGAACGCTGCAGTGTGGCGGGCCAGGGCTCGGGGCCCGCTCGCGCCGTGGGGTCCCTCGGCTGATTAATGGGACTGGAGGCCCTTCAAAAACAGCGCTCCCCGCAGACAGGGCCCGACAGCGCTCCAAAAATAACTCGGGCAGGGGAGGCAGCTCCAGAACTAACAGGCTGCAGCTTCTGAAGGAACCAGACTTCAATACAGCCGAGAGGGGCACTGCCTACTCAGACAGGAAGCTTTAATGACCCCTCTCGTTTATAGGAAGTGACAAACACTGACAACTGATATTATCAACTATGGTGTCATATTACCTGCTTATGTAATTTTGGTCAACGAGGATAAGAATGTGCAAGACGTGAAGCCCGCGTCACACTGTCCCGAAATTGACACCAGATGGACACACAAATATGGAATTGTGAATTTCGCACGAAGATGGCCCCGAACATGGTCAACAGCCAAGCAACAGCCGAAGCACGTACGATGCCTACAGAAGGCCACACGGTGGCACCCGAACCACACACGAAAATATGGTCGTAGACTTTACACATCACACGAAGTAAAGACCAAGATGACACGATTTGACAAGATGCCCTCACGATGGCCTTACGAAGGGCAAAATGGACACACGAATTCAACACGAAAATGAACCTTCGCAAGATCCTTCGCAATTTTTTGGCATGCCAAAGATTTTGCCACCGCTCACGAAGTTGCTGCCGGAGCCTGAGAAACTCCACCGGCGGTCATACGATGGCTTAAGATGCCCCTCACGAATGGCCCGATGTTGTTACGATCAGAGCCGAATTTGAACATTTCCTTTATCGTGTTTCCATCTGCTGTCAATTTCGGGACAGTGTGACGCGGGCTTTACGAAGTACAAGCTTTACACACTGTGACACTAAGGCTCATAATAAAACATTACATTAGAACTGATTCGCTAAGTGGTTCTCAAAGTGCTTCAAAGAATCTCCATGTAGGTTTAAAAGTTGAAATACTCAAAAGGTAAAGAAATGTGATTTTCTACAGCTGACTATCTGCTGAGAGTGTGCCGCAACTCCAGGGGCTGAAAAATAAGGCCAACGCAGCTAGTGCCAACAATAATAGAGACTGAAACTTGAATCTAAAGGATTTTGAAATAATGTTTGTTTGTAGACATTAAAGCACTGAGAAAACTGTGGCGCGCTTACACTGTAGGTGCGCCGCGTTTGGGGGTGCGGTTGCTAGTGGAGCCTCGCAGATGGGGGTGCTGCGGCCCCCTCAGCACCCCCCCTTCCCGCGTCCATGACTGAGCAGTAGGAGTTTGCAACTGGAAAGGTAATACAGAACAAGTCAATTCAACCTGTGTTTTAACCAATTAAAATAAGTTGCTGAACACTGAAGATTACGCAGTGTATGTAAACTAGGACACAGGTGAGTTTATGTGCATTGACTGGACCATGTGACTTAGCATCGAGTTGAAGCATAACTTAAGCAAGATCTACTTGTTTGCAGACGACCCTGTGTTTTCTTTCTCAAACTCCTGTACACTACAACAATATTATCAACAAGTTACAGCTCAGACTGATACACAAACAGCTGTATTTTTTTACAGCCATTTTCATTTTTAAGACTTATGAGCTTAAAACAGAACCACTAACTTAAAACAGAAACTGTACTGTAAGTTCAACTGAGCAGTTTGTCTACAATGTGCCTCTGACCACATGTAAAGCAGCTGAAAAAGCCAACCTCAATTTGTTAGATAAACACATGCATGCTAGTTATACTTGTGTACTTGCTAATTCTTTAAAATAGTCACATTAAATCACTGTTTCCTCCTGCTGTGTTTACAATGGGCACATTTCATTTTTAATTCACTTGCAAGAAACAAATCACTGACAGGAGAGCTAATAAGGCAAAAAAAAACACAGCAAAAAATAAATGGCAAACACTTCATAAATGTGTCGATATGTAATTATAGTAACACTCAAGGCAAGCAGCTCCTCTCGGTGGAGTCCGGTCATTTCCTCGGTCCGAAACCAGATACTCGGTACGCTTTAATTAAAAGTGTCAGAGGCTCAGCAAAAAGGCCGGGATCAGGAAAAAACTCAAATGCAGGAAAACTGCTAAGATTTGTGGTCGCACAGCTACAGACTGATTCTATAATTCAACTTAGCAAGATATGAATAAAAAAAAGAAATATGTTGACATGTGGGATAGTTTTAAGCGTCTGAGTGAGGGGTTTGGCTGGAAAACGACTACGACAGACCTAATTACACGGAGGGGACCGCTGAGAATTATCGGGCTTTTCTGACAGTTGAAAATAAATAGGGCAGTTAATGAACGTCCTCAAAGGGGAGGCCATATTTCCTCGCTCTCGCCAGGCTCTCCCATGTGGAGCGGGAGCAGCTATAATGGTTTTAGCTGACACCCGAGTAAGTGAATTTGGAGCCGAGGAGAACAGAGAGGCAAATTAGAGTCACTTCCTCTTTCCTGTAGCCCCGGGCTGACATGACTGATATCAGTCAATAACGGGACCACAGGCGAGGGGCGGCAGAAGGGAGGCAGAGAGGTCTAGAGAGCATACACACCTTTCAATTAAAAGCAACAGCTAAACGCAGGTTAAACAACTTCAGCAGCGCCTCAAACATTAAGAAATTAATCATTAATTAATTAATCCAATATTTGGTCAAGATGCCAAATATTTGCTGGTCTTCCAAAGATTATGTTTATGTCATGTCTAGGAGCTTTACTCATTTAAATACAAGGGAACACATTTTACAAGAGTGAGAAAATCAAAAATACATCTCTTGCTATGGCAGAGGAACGGACATCACTATTCTCAGAAAGTTCTTTTTAGACGACGAACATAAAACCAGGCCCCAACTATAGTTAACTGAATATAGAATTATTATTATTTATGACATTCTTACTTTTATTGGCAAACATTTAACTGTTGTGTTGTGACATGTAAAGTAATATGTTACTTTTCTTTACTCCAGGTTGTAAGTTAAGTGTGTAAGGAGTTATGGCTCAAGCTAATGTGAGTTTTATTTTTTGGCAAATCAAAAACCTAAAGACAATTTAGTACTCAAGTAAAAAAACTTAAATACATTTCCCAGAATGCAACTCAATAGTGTTGTTTATTAGACATTTCCTTATTATTATTATATTATTAAAAAGAGTAGTATTTCTTGTGACAGGCCCACAATGATAGACCAAACCATACACCTGTATGTCTCGCTGTATGAAAATCTGCTTTTAATCTGCTGAAGTGCAACAAAAATAAACGACCACACTGCAATGAGCTATTGTCAAATTACTACAGGTTATATTTGATATGGAGCACATTATCACCTACATTTACTTACAGGTGACTAGATTAAAAGAAAACAGACAAGGCTGTCTCACTATCACATCGCTCAAAATTGAAAGCATCTGACAAAGATCACACTTCATCTTTGTGTCAGTCCGTTGAGACTCAGAGACTTTTTAAAAACACATTTCCAGTGCAGAAAACCCTCCAGTTTGACGCACATCACACCTCGAAACATTGTGAGCCCGCTGGTTTCTGCACTCAGCCGTCCACATTTGGAGAAAATTAAAACAAATGAAAACCAACACTTCATCTCTGATGTTATTGCTGGTAATGAAGCACTGCTGTGATGCTTTCAGAGTCCTCCCCCCACTTCCCCTCTCGTCACACACCTCTCCCGCCTCTCCAGAGACTTTTGCCTTAACAAAACACAGACGGGACGGCAGTGAACTACATACTGTGTTACAGCTCGTTCATCAATGTGCAGATGCTTGAGGTTTTTAACTGCACCGTAATGCAAGAACAGCTCAATAATTAGCATGGATGTTGTACTGGAACACACTGGTTATTCTTACTCGTGCCGGGGGACTCGTTGTTTGTCTTAACACCCCATTTGCTTCTCGTAGACAGCCGTGCAATGATAGGAAACCCTAAGTGGAGTTATAGACGTGTTTAAAAAAGTAAAAAGGTACACTGGAGTGGTGCTACTGAGGATATGATGTCACAGGCCAGACTAGGAAAGGAAACGGCATTGAATAAACTCGATATAGACAAGGAAAAAAAAGGTTACGGCACAACTGAAAGCTGCTAAAGTTGAGAATGAGCGATTCATGATGTCTGAGTCAAAAGGAAATGCCCATAAAAGAATAATCCAAAAAAGGTGCGATCTAAATTCATAGAGGAACCATTAAGCCATTAAAATGTGGCTAATAATGAATCATAATGTTGAGGTTTTGAGAAACCTCAACCAAAATGGATCACATTTAAATCACGTGATGGCATGTTGTTATTGTTTTTAAATGGAGACCACATTTACCACGACTTTAGTTTATGATTTCCTCCATTTCCCAGAATACCCTTCCCCTTAGGAATTAGGTTTAACAGTGTTTTCTTTTATCTGCTTTCTAGGAAGAAAAATTACTTTTCA